TATGTGCTCATAGGCGCCAGCGAAAATTCCGCCTGTGTGTCGCGAGGGCCGGCGGGAAATATTCCTCGGAATACAACGCCGGCGAAAAAAATGTTGGGACCCAAAAACGCGACAGGTGAAAATTTGACCACACACGATCAATCAGGGAAATAGAGTTGGCGCTCATGCACATAATGTAGTCAAGTCCCCAGGCAGGGCCGAACTAGAGGGTGAGGCGAATTCAGAACGTCTGGGGGCCCTGGCGCCCGCTGAGCCTCGCCTACAGCCCTCGACCAAAGTTAACCCCAAGTGTGGTTGACTTGCCAGTCCAGTGTCGCCCTGTTTCACTCATCCAATAACGCTCCCCAGAACATCACATCGGCAAGGAAAGTGAAACACGTTTGAGCTTGAGCCTGTCGAGGGCAGTAAGTCGCACTGCGTGCTCCAACAGCCTTGACGGCGACGACGACGACGACGACGACGACGACGACGACAATGACGACGACCGCGACGGCGACGACGACGACCGCGACGGCGACGACGACGACGACGACGGCGACGACGACGGCGACGCCGACGACAACGACCCCTCCTGGCCTATCTTGGCGGCGACGAAGTGGCTCTGCCGCTGCTTCGCGGCCGGCTTTCTCTTGCCCTGCTCCTCCTCGCTGCCGCTGCTGCTGTTGGCGCCGTGGTCGTGGGTCTCGTCGAACTCTTCCATGTTCTTCACCACCAGCGCCTGGACCAAGGGCAGGGGCAGGAGGGAGGGAGGGGAAGCTGGCGGCGCGCAGGGGGGGGGTAGGGGGAGGGGGGGAGGCTTCTTAGGAGGAGGCTGCTTCTTAGAAGCCGCGGGCCTTACATCTACAGACAAGGCCCGCGCCTTCTAAGAAGCAGGGGTGCTTCTAAGAAGCCTTCCCCCCTCGCCCTGCCCCCCTCTGAGCGCCGCTAAGGAAGGGGGAAATTGTGTGGACTGTCCTGGGGGGCCCAGGGCGTGAGCCGAAAACGCGGGGCAACAGAACTCGTGCGCGCTGCTTGCAAGATCCCTGGAAGCTGAGCAGTAGGGCCTGCAGGCCACCAGGGTGCGCAACAAGGGGCTGACCCTCTTCCTCCTCCCCCTCTCCCTCCTCCTCCATCTTTCTCCTCCGTAGCCGCTCTTGGCTCAAGGCCTTGGGCGTAGTGCCCTTGGCTGGGCCCGCGCCGCGCCTGTAAGGCTTTCTCGCTCCTCGCCCCTGCCATCGGGGCCCTGACCGTGGCAGCGCGTGCTGCGCCGGCCGCTGGCATTGTCGACCGCCGCATGGCCAAGGCGGTCAAGCGCGTCGACACCGCATACCATCTCGTGCGGCACCTGACGGCTCAGCGATCCGCAAACATGATGGGCGAGTTCTGCGCCGCGTGCGCTGTGCCGGCTCTGGTGGGTGCTGGCGCTGATCGCGGTTGCGGCCAGAAGAAGGAGGAGTTGCAGGACGTGGTCGAGGTCGGGGACATGAAAAAGGACGTGGCTGCCGACGATGAGGATTCGAAGATTGCCAGGAAGCAGTTCGAGCAGGGCGCTGTTGCCTATGCGCTGGGTGAGAAGCTCGACGAGGGTAATGCCGAGCTCAACGGCACCCTGGACCTGCTGTTGCCCAAGGTCGCCACGGTGGAGTGATGCACTGGCGCAGTCCTCAACGAGATCTCGCTGGACGCCGACGCGGTGTGCGACGGAAGCACGGCCGACACGAAGACAGACCTCGCGCCTAACCACGTGCGGGATCCGAAGGCGATCCTGCACTGTACGCGAAGGGCATGGTTGCTGAGGCGCTGGATGCAGAGCCCGACGCAGGGAAGGTCGAGCACCACAGTGCCCTGGGCAAGGATGGGGCAGATTCAGAAGCAGAAGTCCGCGGTGCAGCAGCAGGAGCTCGTTTTTCTTCATTTTCGGCGATCATGGGCATCATAGCGGGGGGGGGAAGGGGGCCTGGGGGGGGGTACAACGTAACGCCTCCCCCCCGCCGTGTGCCCGATGCGCACGGCGGCAGTGCCCGGAGCGCACTGGGGGGGGGAGGGGGCGTTACGTTGTAGAGGGGGGTCGGGGGCTACAATGCCCATTATATGCCCCAAGCAATACAGAAACACGCTCCAGGTGGCCGAGGGCCTCTCGGAGGCCACGCACGACGAGAACGACATCAGGGAGCTGCAAGACTTCCTGGAGACGGTGGCTCCGCGGCACTCCTCGAGCTGAGCGTGCGCACTCGGTTCTGCGCCGTGCTGCCTCTCATGCGCTATCACTGCCTCGCCGTCTGTGCCGCACACTGATGTAACGACTCGGGGGCGCGCAAACACGGAGTAGTGATCCGCGGAATTGGCGCGCGGTCGCCGAATCCATGGATCGGGATGGATCCAGAGCGAAGGCGTGCCCAACTGGAGAATGGGTTCAGATCTCTCGGGCCCGAGGGCAGAATTGAGCAGGGACCGACCGTCCTGGCATGCCTATAAGCCTACTGCGACATGCCCTTAGAATCCCGAAATGTTCTAAGGACAGAAGCGATGTTCTTATAGCATAGGCCCAATGTGCTAAAAGAAGACCGTCTCAGCCAGAAATGCTCGAATAACATTTCGCGCAGACCACCAACATGTTCTTGGAACATTCCTGTTTGGGCCTCTAGGCTTATAGGCAAGCCAAGACGCTTCGCCACTGCTCGACAGAAAGACCCTTCCATCGGCTGACGGGGGCCCAGCCTCGAGCGCCGAGATGTGCCCAGCCTGCTGTTGGGCGGTGCTGCTTCGGAGGGCTGCCTAGCATTCTGGCACCGCTGCTGTTTCGTATCTCTGGGATGCGAACCGTGACCCAGCCAGCTCCGGCCAATCGGACCAGGACCTGGCATCGGGCTCGAGGGCCCCTGCGGGCGGGGCTGCCATCCTCAGCCTGGGTCGTCTTGGGTGGACAGCAGACGGCGTGGCCCATTGGCCACCACCGCCGCCGCCCCTCCAAAAGCATTTGCTCCACCCCATGAATACTCGAGCCCATCAACTAATTGCGCGAGCGTGCCAACAGGGCAGGTGTGTACAACCCGCGGGGCGCGACCGCAATGCAGCAGGAGCTGAAGAACAGCGCCCTCCCAACCCATTTCCGCAGCACCTTACTCGCCTTCGCGCGCCAGCGCGCATGAACAACGAAGGCCGTCTGGGAAGCGGGCTGCGACACAAAAAGGTGGCATGTGAGCTAGGCGAAAAAACGATCGATACCGATACTCCATCCAGGTTGCGAGTCCATCGCGCCGCCCAGAAAGCCCACGGTGCACCGAGATCAACGCGGCGATGGCCTGGACCGTGGTCATGAAACATATCCAGACTTATACTTAAGGACCACATTACATAAATATTTTCGAGCACCCAGAAAAGTGTCGAAACAGTGTCGAACGAGTATCGCCTCCCAGGGCCCGACACGTGAAAACTCTCCAGTCTCAGCATTTTTCCTGGTGCGCGACATTCTTTTTGGTGGTCGAGGCGACAACAGGTTGGAACATCCTATATCCAGACCACGGCCTCGCTGTTGCGACCCCGTGCAGATGGAGCGACCTCGGCGGACGCGCAGCGCGACACGCACCCGTGCGGCCGCGTGCCATGGGAGCGCGCCGCGCTGTCCGGATCTCCGCGTCCAGACGCTCGTCGCTCGTGGCCGGGGCGGCGGTGAGCACCCACGCAGCGAAAAAATGTGCACACACACACAAACGCCCACCGACGAATGTTCCCTGCGCCTGCAAGCGGGGGGGTGCGGCGTGTGAAATTGTTTGCTCGTACTGCTGTGATGTACACACCGCCGCCCTCCCACGAGGTCCACGAGCAGTCCAGTCCACCGGAGGGCGTCCAGAGGAGCAAAAAACAGCAGAAACATGAGTTCTTGACGGTCCGCGAGGATTTCTTGGATCTGAGCTGGACTCCCCTCCCTGGCGCGCGGAGCGCGCCAGCGGCGGCGCCGGAGGCGCCGCCATGGGGGCCCAGCGCAGATCCAAGAAATCCACGTGTAGTGTCGAAAGCTTGTGAGCTTATGCCGTTTGTTCTTTTTCGGGTGTCTGCATGTGTTCCATCAGCGCCAGCCACTCCAAACCTCGCCAGATCCACGCTCCGCTAACGGGCCCACCTTGCGCACAACCAAGTGTACATCGACCAGGGTGTACAGACAATGCCTCGGCCAAAACGGCTCTTCTTCGGGCGTATGTGTATTCAAATCAGTGGCAGCGCAGCTCCCTCGGCCACCCAGCGCAGCACCCTTTGAGCAGGGGCCGACCGTCCCGGCATTCCTGTAGGCCTACCACGAAATGTCCTCAGAACCCCAGCGTGTTCTAAGAACAAACACAGTGTCCTTAGAACATACACGGTCCCAGCCAGGGATGTTCTGAGCACACCTCGCTGAAACCACAGGACGTTCTTGAGTATCGTTTCACCGATCCCCATCCCCAGCGGCGTGGCCTGGGCCCCACTGGCCGATTTACCCCCCTAGATGGGGATGTAAGTCGTTCTCTTTGGGTTTCTAAGGGTGTATCCCCAATTGGGGTGGTAGTTTGGTGGGGGTCTCGCAGGCGATGGAGATGGGGATGGGGATCGGAGCAACGATACCGACAGTTCTTGGAACACTCTTTGGTGGGCCTACTGGCGAGACAGGACGCTTCGCCACTGCTGAAAACACCGCGCAACACCCTCCGCCGGCTCCTCGGCCGGCCAGACCACGGACTCCCTACCCTCCTCTTCCTCCTCCTCCTCCTCCTCCTCCTCCTTCCTTCCCTTCTCCTATCCTCCTTTCCCTCCTTCCCCTCCTCCTCTCGTCCCCCTCCTCCTTCTCTCCTCCCCCTTCCTCTGCCTATCCCTCCCTCCTACTCCTCATTCCTCGTCCTCCTCCTCCTCCTCTACTCCTCCTCCCCCTCCTCCTCCTCAGCCCTTTCTGTGTGAGCCGCGATTGTTTTTTTTTTTTTTTTTTTTTTTTTGTTTTTTTTCAGTGGGCCCATGCAGGGGGTCCCCGCCTTGAACATCTCAGCGACACTTTCCAGTTCAGGAGGGGCCCTGCACCGCCCTATCGAACATCCCAGGGTACCTTCATGCGCTGCAAGTTTTTCGGATGCAATGTGTGCAGCCTGATTCAGCACAGGAGGCTGGACGAGATCGCGTCGCTGGCTAGGGGCTTCCCGTTCCACTTCCTGCTGGGCACCCGCCTGCGGGCGGTGCCGTCCGAGGCGGTGCGCCGTCAGACGCACATCGGGGACCACGACTACTACCACTTCGGGTACGGCAGGGGGCCCTTCACCAACCGCGCGGCAGGAGTCACCATCGGAGTACGACGCCGAGATCTCGGACTACGCGTGCACCGCGTGCTCCCTGGACCTGCCGCCGCGCTGGGCCGTGCGGGAATGGTGCGAGTGGTCACTGGTTCGCTCGACGTCACGGCCATCGCGATCTATTTCCCGCCGCCTGGCCCGCGCTCGGGGACGGCCACATGGAGGCGCACGGTTGATGTGATACTCGAGTGGTTGAACGGTCTGCTGGACACCACCCCCGAGCGCTCCACCCCCATCATACTCACGGACCTGAATGACTCGTTCGCGGTTGACGAGACCAGTTCCTCCTTCAGTTGCATCGGGCCCTACGTGCAGTCTCGCATGGGCTACGCCGCTCGAGGGCTCCGTGAAGTGCTGCACAGACATCATCTCGCTTGCGCAACCACCTTTTTCAAGATTGCTCCCACTTACA